ATATATTGCACCACATATACTGCTTGAACACACTGTTTGGGGCCCACTGTGGTCCCAATCTTTGCCGGAATCCAGGGGGGTATTCCGTGACACCAAAGGGGGGGGGTATTCCGTGACACCAGGAGCTGTGGGAAGCGAAATCCGGCGGGGCATTTCGAAGCAAATCCTCTTCTCGACTCCATTCGTCTCCATGCATTTCTCTCGCTTCTGTTTCTCCCTCTTCCGTACTCTTCTGTGCCCGAGCTGGGCGTTCGGTCGACTTCTGGTCGTGGAGCCGAGATCGCAGCAACAGGTGTTTAAATACCGGGAGCTCCAGCCTGACCGCACCATCCAAAGCATCTCTGCCAGGCCTTGCCTGACAGATACTGATCACGATAGCATCGGCGACGCACCTGTCCTCCTCCTCCCCCCCCTTTCCTCCTCCTCCCCCTCCTCCTCCTCACCCTTCGGCCTGTTCCACGGGCCTGGGGTCTTCCAAGGCGGCCCAGCCCCCCGCGGCACACGGGCGAGCTCAGCTCGCCCGGCACACCCGCCCAAGCGGACCTTCGCGAAGCTAGGCCGCCGTGGAAGACACCCCCCCGTTCCCACGAGCATGCACCGCATATCGTGATTGATAAGTTTGCGTCGCATGGAACGGCCCGCATATATTGCACCACATATACTGCTTGAACACACTGTTTGGGGCCCACTGTGGTCCCAATGTTTGCCGGAATCCAGGGGGGCATTCCGTGACACCAGAGGGGGGGGTATTCCGTGACACCAGGAGCTGTGGGAAGCGAAATCCGGCGGGGCATTTTGAAGCAAATCCTCTTCTCGATCCCAGTCGTCTCCATGCATTTCTCTCGCTTCTGTCTCTCCCTCTTCCGTACTCTTCTGTGCCCGAGCTGGGCGTTCGGTCGACTTCTGGTCGTGGAGCCGAGATCGCAGCAACAGGTGTTTAAATACCGGGAGCTCCAGCCTGACCGCACCATCCAAAGCATCTCTGCCAGGCCTTTCCTGACAGATACTGATCACGATAGCATGGGCGACGCCCCTGTCCTCCTCCTCCCCCCCTTTCCTCCTCCCCCCCCTCCCCCTCCTCACCCTTCGGCCTGTTCGACGGGCCTGGGGTCTTCCAAGGCGGCCCAGCCCCCCGCGGCACACGGGCGAGCTCAGCTCGCCCGGCACACCCGCCCAAGCGGACCTTCGCGAAGCTAGGCCGCCGTGGAAGACACCCCCCCGTTCCTCCTTCTCCTCCCCCTCCTCCTCCTCCCCCTTCGGCCTGTTCGACGGGCCTGCCCGCGGGCCCGGCCGGCTCGCCTGCGCTACTTGGAGGCGGGGAGGAGGATTGTTTTTCCTAGTCTTGAACCAGGGATACATTCCCCAAGCGCTTGCACTTAGGTGCTCTGATTTCTCTCACCCGCATGGGGGCCTCTGCGCCTGGGAACGGGGGGGGGGGGTCTTCCAAGGCGGCCCAGCCCCCCGCGGCACACAGGCGAGCTCAGCTCGCCCGGCACACCCGCCCAAGCGGACCTTCGCGAAGCTAGGCCGCCGTGGAAGACACCCCCCCGTTCCTCCTCCTCCCCCTCCTCCTCCTCCCCCTTCGGCCTGTTCGACGGCCGTCCGACGGGCGTTCGACGGCCGTTCGACGGGCGTTTGACGGCCGTTCGACGGGCGTTTGACGAGAATTCGACGAGAATGGACGTGCGTTCGACGAGAATGCGACGAGAATGGCTCGGAATAGCAAGAACCGCCGCATAATAATAAGAATAGCATTCATGCGCCATTAATGTATTATCAGTGTCGCATGTGTGTCTCGTGGTCCTCCGTATCCTCCTGCTCTTGCTGCTGCTGCTGCTGCTCCTCCCCCTCCTTCTACTCCTCCTCTCCTTCATCTCTGACGATGGTGACAACATTACGAACGCTTTATGTGCTCACAAAGCCTGCGGGCACCAATCCCGGATCCTACTGTCTGCCTTGGGGTGCCCGGTGGCTGGGCCGGGGAGAGCGGCCACTTCCCGTGTTAGCGCCTCAATCTCAGCCGCCACCCACGCCTTCCGGAGCGGCGTGGCCGCAGCAAATCCATTGACCTGGAAGCGAAAGATCATCCAAGCCCGAAGTACGAGCTCGGTCCTCTGCCTCTCGCGGCCGTCAGATCCGTGGTGGCTGATGGTGGCTGTCTTGTGCCTTTGGTGGGCTTTCCCCATGTCCTCGGGCCCTGTCCACCGGGGGAGGACGCTGATCTTCATGTCAGGCCACATCGGGTTATGCTTGCACGAGAAATAACCATTATTCCAGAGAACGTACGTCCCTGGGGACGCCCGATCAGCCCCGTCTTCGTCGTCCCCTCCGCCTGCCTCCGCGACAGCGTCGTCTGGTTCTTCGCCGTCGCCACCCTCGCCCTCCTCCGCCTCCTCGGCGGCCGAGTCCTCCATATCCGACAGTACCTCTTCCTCGTCCTCGGGCGGGAAGCCGGCGTCGTCCTGGTCCCCTGTCAGCTCCGGAGCCTCATCGGCGGCCTTCGCGAGCAAAGGGTTCACGCGGACCTGCTCCTGCGGCGGCGGCAAGCACCGCAGGCGAAGCCCCCCCATGCCACATGTCGTCTCCACGGAGAATGTGAACACGCGGACGGCCTCTTCCCGACGGAGTCCCTGGTGCCTGGCCTCGAGCTCCTCGTGCGTCAAGAAAGACCGCCTGAAATCAGTGTTGTAGCTCAGAAAGTAGCGGTTGGACCCCACGGGGTCGTTGTGTAAGAGCAGGTAACGGCCCTCGCCATTCAGAACAGCAAAGAACACCACCACTCTCTCACCAGGTCCATTCCCCCACAGGATGGACGCGTAGCCGGACCGTAAATGACTAATCTTGCGCTCCCATACCGGGGCGTCGCGGCACCTAGTGGGTTGCACGCGCGGCCACGCAGACGGTGGCAAAGCACTCAAGGACGGCCGGGGCACCAAGCGGGCGCACAATTCGCGCCTGGCGGCGCGAATGGCCTTGTACATGTCTGAGAAGACGACCTCGTTGGATTCGAGCCACTGCAGCCAGTCGCTCTGCGTTGTCGGAAGCACGCTCTCTTTGGCAAGCGCCATCAACCGACGGGCCTCCGCATGCGCAGCGTCGACCTGGGCCCGCAATTCCCCACGGTGCTGCTCCACGAGATTCTTCAGGGCATCCTGGTCGCCCTCGTGAACCAGATCGCGGCTGGTGGCTGCCTCCGCCCCCACTGCGCCGAAGCGCACGCCTCGCGGGCGCGGCACCAAGTGTGGCCACCGAGCCCTCGCAAAGCTCCACAAGTTCTGCTTGCGAAGCTGGTCTGCGCGTCTCTGGAGGCCCAGTCTCACGGGGAGGAACTGCTCTCGGCGAACGTGGTATTGGTGCAACAGTTGGTTCCGAGATGCAGTCGCTAAGGTGCGGGCTTTCTGGTTCTCTGGAGCTGTGTCCTGATGGTGTTTCCTCTCGGCCTCCAGCGACGTCACGAGCGTGGCCTCGAGGACGTGGTCAATCTCCGCCTGCGCCTCGCTGCTCTCCAAATAAGCCGTCGCGTCCGCGAAGCCTCCCTTGGACAGCGCGCGGGCTTGCAGACCCAGTGTGAAGCCCGCGTCCAGGGAAGCGGGCTCCTCGGCGAGGAGCGCTCTGCAGCCAGTGGGGTAGCCTTGCCAGGGAATGCCCGCGCCAGGAGGCACAAGCAGAAACCATACTCAGAATCCTGAAAGCCAGACGTCCAGAGACGCTCAGGAACGCGGGAGGACGTCCGGAAACCTCCGGATTCCTCTGGACAGACGACGACCACGACCACGACCACGACCACGACGACAACGAGGTTCGACCCCTGCTTGCCGAGAGGGTTGTGCGCGCGGGAAGCCTCCCACAGCTTGCCGGGGTACCCTGCGTACTTCTCGAAACGGACAACCAGGTGTGACTGGACAACGAACAGGGCGCTCGCGCAGGCCCCGACGTGGAGCTTATCATCGACGGGCAACAGCGGGAGAAGTCTCTGCAGGTGTGCGTTGGTCTGCTGTTGAACGTGTCCTTGCGCCAATCTGACCAACAAGGGCCTCTTGTCGTTCTCTCGAAGCTTTGTCTGGGCAGTAATCCTGACGGCATGGTCGGTGAGCTGAAGGCAGAGGCTAGCTCTCCGCAGGTCTGGTCCAGTTGCAGGTGCAGCGAAGAAGTCTTTCAACAACTTGCAGCGCTTCGAATTCTCTTGGGCCGGTCGAAGTCTGGCAAGAGTGAAGAGAGGCTCTGCGATGCACAGCATGTCCATCAAAAGGAGAGACCACACGCAGGGCGCGAAGCTTCGGACCCCCACACAGGAGTGGCCAAGCCTTAAGCGACGGTTCTCTTCGATGGCAAATCCCCCTCCCGTCGGGATCCGTAGAATGAAGACGATCACAAAATGCTGCTTCTCTTTGAAAACCAAAGTTCAGCGTGGCCAACGCCTGGGCCGAAAGGGCGAGATCAACAGAGGGCGGAGGGGCAAGAGGGGGCGGGCGGGGGCGCCTCGAGCCCCCCGCCGTCTTACACCGCGCGGCGCGGGATCGCGCCAGCGAGTGCGATAAAAAGAATCTCGTGGTGATGGGCTTGGACTGCAATTTCAAGACCATCGGCATCAACACCTTGAGGAGATCGCCGCATACAGATGCCCGGCACGTCCCTGCAGGACAGCAGTGCTCGAGGCGCGTGCAATCTCTGTTGAGAATGTTGAGGAGGCTGTCAGGGAGCACGCCGGGGCCGTACAGCTCTTGAAGCTTCAAAGAACGACGACGAGCTTCCACAGAGTCGGGATCGGAACCGTCGTGCACGAGGTTCAACCTGAGGAGAAGTACGGCCCTCAGGTTCTCCACCATCTGTTCAGTGTACTTTGGGATGACATATTTGAATGCGCGGCTACAAGCCGCACATATGGAATCAGAGGCCAAAGGGTCAGGGAGGCGCTGGCCGCAAATAGCCACCTGAACGACCAGGTTCGCCTGATGCGAACTACACTGGACGAGGATCATGGAGTATTGAAGGCCGGGAACCTGCCGAAAATGGTGCAGCACTCTTTTGCACGCGGCCTCGTTGGTGGGCACTGCGTCCCCGACGATGATGTGGACAATCTTCAGGACGACACCTGGGCGGCCGCGCAACATCGCGTCTATGGCTGCGCCCGCCGCCCGAATGATCGACTCAGCGATCGTGGCGGCGTTCTTCTGCGCCAAAGCGTGCAGCTCGGAGAAAACAGGCAGCGCGTCTCGAACCAGAGCGTCAGCTTTCCTGGGGAAACTTGCACGCAGCACGTGGTTATTGATCTTGGAATACCTGCCGAGGCTGAGATTGGGCGAAGAAGGAATAAATGATTTGACCTTCATCGCCGCTTCGTCCTGCACGTGAACGAGCGCCACCAAGCGCTCGCCGACCGGACCTGCGTGGAACACAAGCCCTGTCCTCGCTCTGGCCGCCGTCGCCGCCGTCGCCGTCGCCGTCGCCGCCGTCGCCGTCGCCGTCGCCGCCGCCGCCGCCGTCGCCGTCGCCGCCGTCGCCGTCGCCGTCGCCGTCGCCGTCGCCGTCGCCGTCGTCGTCGTCGTCGTCGTCGTCGTCGTCGTCGCCGTCGCCGTCGCCGTCGCCGTCGCCGTCGCAGTCGCAGTCGCCGTCGCCGTCGCCGTCCCGTCTCCGCCGTCGCCGTCGCCATCGCCGTCGCCGTCGCCGTCGTCGCCGTCGCCGTCGCCGTCGCCGTCGCCGTCGCCGCCGTCGTCGTCGCCGTGGCCGTCGCCGTCGCCGCCCCCGTCGACGTCGCCAGAACGGGGGTGGCCCAGGGGGGGCGGGGCGGAAGGCGCCCTTTGACCACTCTCGTCGTCGTCGTCGCCGCTCTCGTCGTCGTCGTCGCCGCCGCCGCCGCCGTCGTCGTCGTGGTCGTCGCCGTCGTCGTCGTCGTCGTCGTCGCCGTCGTCGTCGTCGTCGTCGTCCCTCTCGTCGTCGTCGTCGTCGTCGTCGTCGTCGCCGCCGCCGTCGCCGTCGCCGTCGCCGTCGCCGTCGCCGTCGCCGTCGCCGTCGCCGTCGCCGTCGCCGTCGCCGTCGCCGTCGTCGTCGTCGTCGTCGTCGTCGTCGTCGCCGTCGCCGTCGCCGTCGCCGTCGCCGTCGCAGTCGCAGTCGCCGTCGCCGTCGCCGTCTCCGCCGTCGCCGTCGCCGTCGCCGTCGCCGTCGCCGTCGCCGTCGTCGCCGTCGCCGTCGCCGTCGCCGTCGCCGTCGCCGCCGTCGTCGTCGCCGCGGCCGTCGCCGTCGCCGCCCCCGTCGACGTCGCCAGAACGGGGGTGGCCCAGGGGGGGCGGGGCAGAAGGCCCCCTTTGACCAGGGTTGCCGCCGCCCAGAGAACCCGAATCGATCTCTGCAGCTCGCGCTGCCAGGGAGTCGAAGCCCACCTTCTTCACAAGCTCCGCGAAAGTATCCCGAGTCGCAGCGATCGTTTGCCGCGACACGTTCTGGGGTCGGCTATCCCTCGGCCCATGGGCGCCTGTATAAAGCGCAAGCCCCGCCCCCTGGGCAGCCCGAGCCATTCGCAGAAAAGGAAAAAGAGGGCGGCCACGGAGGAGGGAACAAGGAAGGCGGCGCGAGCTCAGTCCACGACAATCCTCGTCGGCTCCAGGCTCTGGGCTGCCGAAGGCGGGGCGCGAACAAGCGCCCACTGGTTTTGGGGATAACCGAACTCCTGCGCCTCGGTCGGCGGGAAGTCCCTGCACCAATGCGACAACGTTTGCAAGCTTGTCTGCGGGCCGACCAGGGCGACTTTGATGCGCCATAAGTTGGTGATCCTGGGCGGCGCAAACCATCGATCCCCCCAAGACGTGGACACGCCAATGTCACGAGGAAAGGTTTGACGCAGAATTTGGGGGGCTTCGGAAAGCCCGTGTCCTGCCGCATGACTTCGCGCGGACAGCGCACTGCAGCGCCTGTTTGGCCACGCGCGCCTTTTTCCGGGCATGGGCCAGCTGGTTTTCCAAACGCTTGATGCGCTTCTTCGGGTTGGCGGCGCCAGGCGCCCGGGCGGGGTAATCGAACTCCTCCTCGGTGGCATCTATGCGCCGCCGCCGTGCCTGGGCAGGGCCATCCAGGTGCCCAGGATTATGCATGGACACCCCTGGCCTCGGTCAGGGGTGTACATCCACCGTCCTGGTTCCGAGAGTGGGCCCCGCCTAAGCACGGTGGTGGCATAGACGCGCCCTCGGCAAAACGCTGTCCTCGAGCACCTCGAGGAGACGCTCTGCAGCTGCGGCTGTGCCACGACACAGCTCCGGGTGCCCTGATAATGCTTCCACCAAGCGGCCGAGCACGGGGCGCGCCGCCCTCGCGTGGGGAACAAGTGAATCCATCGGGGCAGGCACTGCTATTTCTCTGGGCCGTGAGCTGCGAATGATTTGAAAGGGAAGGGGCTGGAGATAAAACGACAAAGAAGAGGACGACAACAATAATGCAGAAGCAACAGCAAATCCGTCACATCACCAGGTGAATTGCGCCGTCTTCCAAAATGGCGCATCAAGGCAATAACCCATGGGCACATTAGTCACCGTGCTCTTCCTCCTCCTCTTCCTCGTGGTCCTTGCGTTCCTCCCCTTCGTCTTCCTCCTCCTCCTCCTCCTCCTTCTGTCTTGCCCTCCCCCTCCTCCTCTTCCTCCTGCTCCCCTTCCCTCTTCTTACTCCCCCCCCTTTTCCTCCTCCTGCCGTCGTCCTCTTCCGCCTCCTCCTCTTCTTACTCCTCCTCCTCCTCCTCCTCCTCCTCCTCCTCCTCCTCCTCCTCCTCTCCTCCTCCTCCTCCTCCTCCCCTCCTCCTCCTCCTCCTCCCTCTCCTCCTCCTCCTCCTCCTCCTCCTCCTCCTCCTCCTCCTCCTCCTCCTCCTCCTCCTCCTCCTCACCCCCCCTCACACCCGTTTTCCGGTACCCCCGAGTGGTCTACGCCATGCCGCGACAACAATCAGCCCTGGCGGGGGCGTGAATGGCGCCACGCGGGCTCGGCAGCCAGAGGGGGGCCTCCTCCTCCTCCTCCTCCTCTTCCTCCTCCTCCTCCTCCTCCTCCTCCTCCTCCTCCTCCTCCATTTGTCCTACTCCTCTGCCTCCTCCCCCTTCCCACTCCCCTGCCTCCTCCTCCTTTTTTCTCCTCCTTCCCCATCCTCCTCCCCCTGCTCTCCCGCATTTTTCCAGTGCGTCGCATTCGCCAACAAGCCTCGCACATCTCACATAATACTCGCACTGCCCCTGAAATCGCGGCATGAGGCCAGCGCGAGGAGAAAGGTGGAGCAGGAAAAAGAGAGAAGACGAAAGAACTGAGAAAGTTTGGGCCTATCGGTGCGAATTCCCACCAAATCATTCCAGAACTACAGCGCAGCATGGGGCGGAAGGGAAGGGAGAGAGGAGTGGAGGAGAGGAAAGGAATATCGCACTCTCCGAACGTCGCAGTCGGCCACGCACGTCCTGGGCCGCCGCTTCAAAAACAACCCCCGTGGGAGGCCGCAAGCCCGAGGGTGCCCACAAGCCGCCATCCTCGGCCCCCCTAGAGCAACCACGCACACACAACGCGACAACAATGCAACAACAATGCAACACAAACCCGGAATCAGAAATGCGACGACACTGAATCTGTGGTCCCCAAAAATGACATCTAACGAGTGCGATCCATCACGTAGCGGTGTGCAAAAATTGAGGGGGCCGTAGCCCGGTTCACGAGCAGGGAGGCCCAATTCCACTCCGCACCCAACCACGCAGACGACCGAAAGCAGCGACGCGAGGGGCCGCCCAGGCCTCGGGGAACCTGGGGGCGCCCCGTCGTGGGGTTGGCCGCCCTCGAGCGCCGGCCCACGTGTGAGTCAGCACTGTACCAAGAACGCCCTCGGACGCCCAAAAGGCGCTGCCCCTGGCCCGACCGGGCGCTTTGGGAACTCACGGGCCCAGTGCGGCACCGAACCGTGCAGCACAGCACCCGGCGCACTGATGTGGCGCCGACCTGTACAGCACAACGCCCGACGCACGTAGTTGCTCCCGGCCGCCTCGGCGGTCTGTGGACGCGCCGGTGTGGTTGGCGGCCACGCCCAGCACCGCGGCCCCGGGAGCAAGGCGCAGGCTGGTGAAAACTACGGGCGCGCCCCCCGATATCATCGCCAATGCTGTACGCCGCATTTCTTTCCGAGGACCCGAAACGCTGCATGGACAAGCCCCGCACGCATGCCACGCCGCGCAAGCACACACAAGCACACACATACATGCCAGACACGCGCAGTACACGAACGCGCACACACGCGCGCAGAGACACTGTGCACGTCTGTTGCCAGTATTCATAGTTCCGCCGTGCCACATACGTACATACATAACAATATATATATATATATATATATATATATATAGATATGTGTTCATACAGTGGGTGTGTCAATACGTATGTCCGCCAGCCTCCGCGGGGGCCATCGATCGCACTGCTTGCGGGCTAGGCTGTCCCGTCCCAGAGCCAGCTGCAATCCCCAAGTCTTGGTTATGGATGTGGGAAATGTGAACTCCGCTTTTGTGATGTACTGAATCCGCGCGAAGAGAGGGGGGGGCCAAGACCACAAGGTTCCAACCCCCAAACCGTGTGTTCCAAATTCCTGTGGGAAAGGGGGGACCCATGGGACACGTAGAATTCAGCAGGTCCGCGCTCTCGAGGCCACATCCACTTCGCTCGCCCGAGACCACAACCCCTTCATCACAGCAGACTCGCACTCCAGTAGCAATGGTCCAGTGATATTACTTTAGGTTCGCGCTTCACATGCAACCATCCACAGCCAATGTCTCTGGATTCGCGTTTTCTATGCCACAATCAATACAACTTGCAGCAATCTCGCGTTTTCCCAAACCACAATCTCTGGTATGTTACACCTGCTTTGCGCCCACCAGGCCACCAAATCCCTGCCTTCAGTGGGACCCCGCCCCCGAAGCCACAACCCCTGATGAATGACACCAAACTGGCGCTCCGCGAACCGCAATCCCTTGTACATTGCACCGTGTTCGCGCGTCCCAAGCCGCAGCCCATCGTACACTACACACTAGGCTCGCGCCCCCGAGGCCACAACCCGTTGTGAAATAGTACAGGTTCGCCATCCCGGGCCAGCAACTCCTTCTAAACTATGCAAAGTTATCGCCCCCCCCAGCCCCAAACCGATAGTAAACTACGAAAGATCAGTGCTCCCAAAACCACAATCCAAACGAAACTACTGCAAACTCGGTCCCCCAAGGCAGCAATCCCTAGTACATGAAACCATGCTCCCATAGAACAAATACGCCCGACTCGCGCTCCACAGACCACAGTCCCCCGTCAGTTACGCGAGATCCACGCACCTGAGGCAACGAAGCCACCCCACGGAGGCTACCCCCAAAAGCGGGGCCCCCCTCCCGCAGCAGAGGAAACATCATATTCTGTATTGGGATACGTGGGATAATTGCTCGGGGTGTGCTTTTGCCCCCCCCCCCCCCCCTGCAGTTTCATGCGAATTCGGCCTGGGCCTCAAGGCCACGAATCATCGTAAATAGCTGGGGATGCGCGCTCCTCACGCCTCGAACCTTACCTACAACACTACAGTGGAAGCGCGTTGCCGAGGCCACCACCTTCCATTAATGATTACAGATGCGCGCAACCAGCCAGCCAGCCAACACCTAAGTCAATTGCCAAGCCCCAAATTGCCAGCCAGCCTACCGACAAGACCACCAATCTACCTACCAACCAAGCGTGGCCACGCAACCTATCTGAGGGGGAGCCAGCGGCAGAGGGCGAAACCCTTCGGAGATCTCTATCTCTTTCTTTCTCTGTCTATCTCTCTCGGTTTCTCCCTCCCACTTTCTCTCTCTGTTTGCCTCTCTCTCTCTCTCGCGCTCTCTATATGTGTACATATATACACATATTCATGTGAATACGAATGTGCACATCATTCCCGTCTGTATTTTGCTGGGGCCCGCGACATCGGTGGAGCTCAACGGGGTACAACCCCCCACGATTGAAAAATCTGGACCGCAAAAGGTCGCAGAATCTCAGCGTGGACGGGCCCCGTTATAGGCCGCGGGGCCCCGGTACAATGTTCCACAGACCCCCATCGCGGATTTCCGGTACATACCCCATCGCCTTTAATATTTAATCGCCAAATGGGGCGATGACTGGACATTCGCATTTCGCCTCATCTTTCCCCCACAAAAAAAATACGGTCGCTTCCCAGACGACCGGAAATTTTCAGAGGCGACCGAACATTTGCGATTTCACTCAAGACTTCCTCGCAAAAAAATGGTACGATTGATGTTGGCTGGAAGTCGAGTCGTGGCTTGGAAGATCTTATGCAAAGCGCGTCTGCTTGCTTTGGTGCCCGCGATTCTAAACAGAACTTTCTCTGTCAGTGCTCCATGGTCTGCTGTGCCGTGCCAGTGTTCGGCGCGTTGCCCGCTTTTGGAGTCATCTCGGAGGCTATGTCCAAAATCGGGAGCCCAGACCCATCGAGGGTCAACGATGCAGGTCCGATCGGAGAGCGACGATTCAAACGGCCCTTGGCCGATCCGGACTTTTTAATCCAGCAGGTGGTAGACACTCATGCACGCACGCACGGACGCACGCGCGCACACACAGTCACACACACACACAGACACTCAATGGGTTGACTGGAAAAGCAACACAGGGAAGCTGTTGGTCGTCCCCAGCGCGCCCAATAGTGCGCCAAATCGCGCACACATGGCGCTACTGGGCGCTAGCGGTCTCTCTTGGTCGCTGTTTGAGCGCTATCTGGCGCTACTGGGCGCCGTTGAGCTTTATCTCGGGGCTATGGAGCGCTGTCTGGCAATATACACTAAATGAAAGAAGAACGGAAACTTCCATGAAATACTACGGACCGTTAACACGCGGCCTGAAAGAATCCTCGATTGGGAAACCAAGAAGTACCGATACCGCTACTCCGCGGACCTCTCTTGGGGCGCGTTGGTGCGTTCTGGCCAGAACTTCGAAGCGAATCCAGCGGTGGCGACGAGGGCCTCCCAGGAAGCCCAAGAGGGGGCAAACGAGGGAGGGGAACCGCCATGGGAACCTTTCCTCCTCCTGCTGCTCTTCCTCCTCCTCCTCCTCCTCCTCCTCCTCCGCGAGAGGAGGATGAGGAGGATGAGGAGGATGAGGGAGAGAGGGAGGAGGAGGGAGAGGGGGATCACAGTTGCAGCCTCCAGAGGCATCAGCACATTACTATCGGGGAAAATACTTAAACCTGACAAGAAGGGACGGTCGCTAACACTGCGACCCTTCTTGAATCTCTTTTGACTATTCCTTGCTATCCGGGCGGCGCTACCATCAAATCATGTGGGCTTGGCTGATCTGAACGTACTGTTTCTTACATGATGGGGGTACTTGTTCACCGAGGTCAGTGCCGACCTCAAGGACCTGGCGGGCGCCTTAGTCTTTTTACTCTTCTCATCCGTTCCTTTACTTAGTTTATTTTCCGCGGTCCCCGCCAGGTATATCTTGAGCCGAGTCGTCTACCTGCATGCTCCGTATCTTGTTGTGCACATCGAAAACGCCACAGGGTAACCCTAGGTTGGTCCAGCGAAGAAAAAAAGGAAGGGGGGATCGAGGACGAGGGGCAGCGGGTTGCAGACCCTTCCCTCCTCTGAGTCAAGGGGCGCAAGGCAGGGCGACCGCGGGTCACGGACGCCATACGTGTGCTTGTAGCAGTACTGCCTCCATTCCCACTCGGCCGCGCCGGCAATGCGCGCCTGCGGCAAAGGCGGGCTCTCGCCCTGGCCCTCCTCGCCTGCGCCCTTCCGTGCCCTGCCTGCGTCCTTCTCAAGCAGACGCGGTTGCTGCTCCGCCCCCGCCCTCCTCCTTCCCTTGCGTCCGGCCTCCTCCTCGAGCCCCCATCGTCACGATTATTTCTCGATGATCGTCAGAACGTGAATTAGCGCCAACGTGTGCTTGCGCTCTGAGGACCGTCAATACGATGCAGGCGATGAGATGATCCATCAGTGGGGCTGAACGGGGTAAACACACATTGGCCTGACACACGTCCTGAAGATCATCGGATTCCGCAACGTGGGCTCCTGCAAGGCCGGACCCATCCTGGGGACCTGGGTCTGGACTCCTGCAAGGCTGGAATCCCAACCCCGGGGGGGGGTCCTGCAAGGCGGGGCCGGACTCCTGCCACTCTCCCAGTCTCTCCCGCCAGCCCTGGCCGTCCCCAACCTGGGATAACGAAAACAGTTCATTATTATCATTTCTATGGTAGTCTCACGAGACTTCGTGTTATTTTGGTACGTTTCTGGTAGTGCTACCGGTTCTGTGGCTCTGCGATGAAGAAAAACTTGTGACTGCCATTGGACAACCCGTCAGATCCAATGGGAAGCACATAAGCCTTGCGACTCTCTGGAATAATACACATCCCCGCGCGAAGGAAAGGCCCTCCACCTCCGAAGCCTATCCCTCCTCCCTCTCCCTCACCCTCTCCCCCTGTCATCTCTCCATCATTCTCGCTCTTTCCCTTTCTCTCTGTACTTCTGTCAAACTAGTAACGCCAACTCCTCCACCATGGGATACACTGCGACCACTGTACCTTCTCTTTATCATGTTCTCTTTCTCTGTTTCTCATTATCTCTCTCTCTCTCATTCTCTCTCTCTCTCTCTAATTATATATGTACACATTATCATTCCTACTTCCCCCTCGTGTCTCTCTCTCTCTCTCGCCTCTTTCTCTCTCCCTTTCCCCCCTCCCTCTCTCTCTACTTCCCTCACTCTCTCTCTCTCTCTATCCTTCTCTCTCTCTCTCTCCCGCTCGCTTTCTCTCTCTCTCTCGCTATCTCTCTCTTTCCCCTCCTCCTTCCTCCGCCTTTTCGCTGCCTATGTGAAGATCGAGTCCCCCCTGCGGGGGGGGTACCCATATGACACATACATATATACATATACACACAGACGTAACCCTTATCACTGAAAACTTACGAAGGATACTTGGGAAGGGGAGGCCAGGAGATCCGGCGTCGCAGAAATACCGTCGTACAAACCACGACATAATCCGACGATGCCATCCTTCTGCGGCACTTTCGAACCAGACCGGCCCGCCGTACGAAATCGCCGGGCATGAAGAGATCGCGACGCCAGGAACTCATGGGCGATCTGGCCGGAGGTCCCCGCCTGAGGCCTCGCAAGGGCCCCTCGGGCGAGTCACCACGGTGACCCCCGCACGCCTGCACGGAGGCCCACACTGCCAAAGTTGCCTGCGCCGCCCCCCCGCCGCCGGCGACGAGGATCGAGGAGGATCCAGTAAGACCGAGGATCGAGGAGCATCATGGGAAGGAAGGCGGGGCCGCACCGTGAGGTCCGCCGCCTCCCTGTCGGTGGCCAGAACCTCGGCACGTCCACCGCGGCGCGTCTGCGCTCCAAGACGGCAGCCCGCCGGAGGAAGAGGGGTGGGGATGGCGGAGCAGGCGCAGGGCGGAGGAGGAGGAGCGCGGAGGGTTGCCCAGAAGGCAAGGCAGGGGCAGGAGGGGGAAGAGGGGGAGCAGGGGGAGGTCGAGGAGGGGAGGGGGAAGGAGGGGAGGGGGCAGGAGGAGAGGGGGGGCGGCAGGAGCGGAGCGGAGGAGCGGGACGGGGCAGCGGGAGGGGGGAGGGGTCAGGCTGGTCATCCTTCCCTAGCGCGGGCCTTCCACGGTGAGGGAGAGACTGGCGCGGGGGAGTGTTGCCGTGGAGTCGGCGATGCATCGCCGACAGTTTGGCGACAGGCGCCAGGCTGCGAAGCCCAGGCTCTGGGCGGGGGATGAGGTGCCCACGCCCCGATTGGCGATGAAGGGGGAATTAGGGGGGCTCTGGTCCCCCCTTGGCTGCAGCCCCCCAACGTAGTTGCAACAGGTTTCGTGGCGGTACGGCCCTTCAGAGCTCTCCGAAGACGCGCCGACCGTCTGGCCGTAACGACGGCTGCTGCTGCGGCGCACGACTCTGGGGGGGGCCCGCCTGGCCGAGTAACTTCCCTAAGGGGGGCCCGTTCCAGCCATCACGTGATGCTCCTCCAACGCAAGAGCATCCCGTTCGCTCGCGGGGTGGGGGAGAGGAAAAGGATCAGGAGGTGCCCGGGGGAGGACACCAGAGACAGGGCACGCTAGGCACGCTCGCGCCACATGTGGAATCTGATCCCTCCCTCCGATGAAGAAGAGGAGGGGGAGGAGGAGGAAGAGGAGAAGGAGGAGGAGGAGGCGGGTGAGCAAGAGGATCAGCTCGAGAAAAATATGAGGAAGAAGGAGGACGAGGACGAAGAGCAGCAGGACATGGAATGGAAGGAGCGGTGGAAGCAGGGTGACCAGGAGAAAGCGGATGGGGGGAGCACAAGGGGCGACATCGATCAAACAAAAATCACTCGGACAATCAGGCCCACGCTGCAGCGGGAACGCCCGAGTTGCCACCCGACGCGAAGGGGGGTCGGGATATTATGGATAGGGCCGGACGGAGGAGGAGAGCAACAGTCTTTGTGTAGTGGAAGCGATAAGAGGAAATAGCATGGCACAGGATGTGGGTAAGGAGGGTGGTGAAGCTGACGAAGCTGAAAAGATGGGGGTGGAAACAATGCCGATGGCGATGGTGATGTTGATGACGGCGATTGTGCTACTGGAAATGCTGACATGAAAGATGAAGATGAATGTGCGGATGAAGATGGGGATGAAGACGCAGATGCGTATGTCAATGATGAAAACTCCTCGACAGCAGGCCGGGCCCGACCGTTTCCCTGGCCACCCCGCACACAGCGGCGGACCGTGCAATCGAAATGGCACACGCGGGGATCAGCACAGCGCAGGCCGGCGGCGCCAAGCAGATCGGCCACGACCAGTCGCCGCGGCGTGCTGGAAGACCCTAGCCTCGGCCGGTACTGCCCAGATTCACATCTGGACGGGATACGCGCCAGCGCCGACAGGCACTAACCAGCTCAACGCAGGCATTCGCGATCCTTGGGCCTGCCTGGCGTCCCGAGCGGAACGTCTACATTCCTGACACATCACAGCGCTCGTCGCAAGCTCCTCGGGCCCGCTTGGCGCCGCGAGCATGGAAAGCCGCCGCGCTCGGCGAACCAATGGGTCCCCAGCGCGTCGGGCGCCAACAGTTGCATGTCTGGATCCCCAGAAGGCACTGCACAGAGTATGCGCGCCAGGGGAATGCCCACCACCAGTGCTCACAAATAACAATCATGGGATGGTGGGCTCCGCGGGCGAGCAGCCGTGCACAGCGCCGCAAGCGAGCCTCAGCTCCGCGGGCGGGTGCACGAACCACAACGCCGCACACGAACTCGAGGAAGAACTTCCGCTAGTGAAGCTCGGCCGCAACGCGGAGGAACACTTGCAGAAGCGCGCCGGCGCCTCGAGGGCCGTCCACGAGGCTGCACTCGCCGCCTGAAAATCGACCCCCGCGAGGAAGCCGACCTGGCCAGCAGCAGGAACTCCAGAAGCCTCGACTGCAGCAGAAAGGCCTCCTGTGGCAGCATCAACACCAACCGCCTCCACGCCTCGCGCCCCGCCCTCAGTGCCCTCAGCTGCGGGGGGGGGGCGGTGGGACGCCGCGTCAGCTGGCAACTGGCCGTGTGGCGCGCGATCTGGACGTGCACGTCGCCGCACGATATGTTGCATTCGCCCCGCGGACAGACGGTGCCCTCCAGGCCCCCCGAGCCTGGCGTCGGAGCCCTCATCCACGATCTTGCTGACGGTCACCTGCGAACCAGCGTGCACAGCCAGGTGCCACACACCCGCCGAGAGGCCGCGGAGGCGGAGGAAGGAGAGGAAGAAGCAGGGAAGGAGGCAGCACCCAGGAGGGAACGATCGCGCAATGCAGATAGGTGCATGATTGCCCTGGCCCCCCCCAAAAAAAACTGGCGGGTCCCTTGGGCTGCGGCCATGAGCAGAGGAGGAGGGAACAGGGGGAGGAGGGAGGAGGCCGAGGAGACGGAGGAGGTGGAGGATGAGGTGGAATGGGTGGAGGAAAGAGTGATGGAGGAGGCGGAGGACGAGGAAGAGGAGGAAGGAGGAGGAGGAGGAGGAGGAGGAGAGGAGGAACGGAAACAGGAGGAGGAGGAGGAGGAAACGGAGGAAAAGGAGGAGGCAGGAGGGTGGAGGGAGGGGGAGGGGGGGAAGGACCAGCAGGAATATTGCGAGAGAGGGGAAGGAGGTAGAGGAACCGGGGGAAAACGGACGAGGGGGGAAGAGGGGGACCGCTCCAATGGCCGAGGCCCGCTCAGGGGGGTCTGTCCAGCCGCCCTCGTACTGCTCCAGGAACTCCTCAACCAAGTCCGAGGGCAGCCCTGGCACCGCGGGAGGTGCACCCTGGGCCGTTTACGCCGATCGTCACGGCCGTCGCTGGCCAACCCTGGGAATCGACCCTTCCCGAGGTGCAAGGTTCGAGTTCCTTAGACACCCTCGCGTCGTGAAACAATCTCGACGGGAAGGTTCTTACCATTGTCGGACTGTGGTGCCCTCGGCAAGCCCCGGGACCCACAAAAAACGACTCAGGATAAAAAGCCGGTCCCAGGGGAATGGGCCCATACCTCCAGGGGTCCACCTTGTGAGCAAGAATGAATTACCACGTCGGGGGTATTCGTCTGCTGGTCCGAGGGTTTGGAAAGCTGCTCGCCCCATCTCTGGGGGGTGTCCCACAGCGCTCTCGCGGCCACGTCGTGGCCGAAACGCCAAGCCTCGCCCCTCGAACACCATTTTTCGAATATATATATATATATATATATATATATATATATATAATATATATATATATATCGCCGGCCCAGCGGGCCACAGGCGTGGTAGATCCTGCGCACAGGTACGGTGACGCATTCTAAGGAACGAACGGGCTTTTCTGGCCACGGCGAGCCTAGGCCACAGACAGGCCCCACGATGTCAATCGAGGGAGCGTCCATGAAACCCGAGCCCCTGCTGAGCTCAAAGTGGTCCTTGGTTCCGCGTCTTCGCTGGAACCTGGGGTGGAGCTCTGTGAAGGAGCTCCGCGCGCGAGCGGGGGCAGCCCGGGGGGGCTGCGGACCTCACTGGGATGCATGAGCGGGCGAACGGCCCCCAAGAGGTCCCCCAACCGCCCCAGGAGCGCGGGCCATGGCGTGGCAGGCCCCATGCTGGCTCCAAGATCGTCTCAAAATCGCTCCGCGATGACGCTAATGTGGCCCCCTGATGGCCCAAGGCAGCCAAATGGATTGCAAGCAAGGTGCAAGACGGCTGAACTACTTTTTCCCAACCCTCCTTGGTTGGGTATTCGTTTTGAATAGAGCAGGGTGGTCGCGTCACTCCTCCTGCCTCCCGCCTCCCTCTTGCCTCTTCCTGTCTTGCCTGCGGGGGGCTGCGATCTGTGAAACTGTCGCCACTTTTGAGGCCTGCTGGGGGGCCCAGCACAGTGAGGGCCACGGGCGGACCCAAATTAAACCTCGCCATCCCTGGGGGGCTGCGATCTGCGAAACTGTCGCCATTTTCGAGGCCTGCTGGGGGGCCCAGCACAGTGAGGGCCACGGGCGGACCCAAATTAGACCTCGCCATCTGTGATTTTCGAGGCCTGCTTCAGCACAGTTGACCTCGCCATCCCTGGGGGGCTGCGATCTGCGAAACTGTCGCCATTTTCGAGGCCTGCTGGGGGGCCCAGCACAGTGAGGGCCACGGCGGATTCAAATTAGACCTCGCCATCCCTGGGGGGCTGCGATCTGCGAAACTGTCGCCATTTTCGAGGCCTGCTGGGGGGCCCAGCACAGTGAGGGCCACGGGCAGATTCAAATGAGACCTCGCCATCCCTGCGGGGCTGCGATCTGTGAACCTGTCGCCACTTTCGAGGCCTGCTGTGATCCCCGTTTTCGAAGTGGCTAGGAGTGCTCAGGAATTGTAAATCATCAGCTTTATCAAGCCCTTTTCCTGTAGCCAGTGTCCTGCGAGTCTCCCGAATTCCGTCTGCAGACATATGTAACCCTCGCTCCGTCATCGCCCCCTTATAAAATATCCTAAACTATTTGCGCCCCGCTTTTGCGCAGGGGTTGGGTACGTCGCCAGGGTAATTCCTCAGATGCTTCCAAGAGGACCAGCACAATAGAAACGCAATGCAAATAAAGAGCGCCCCGAGTCATCCTTAAAGCCAACAAGATGGCGCACGGGCGGCCTAACAGCGAGTGCCAGTGGGATGCAATCCCTGAGATGGCCCCAAGACAGCCCAAAGAGGCGCAATGATGGCCCCAGTGGTCCAAGAAAGCTCCGATGGAACACCAAGGAGTCCCTTAGAAACTACTAAGAGGCCCCTGAGAGGCCCCAGGGAACATGGGAGACCCCTGATAGCCCCCAGAGATCCCCAACAGTACCCAACAGTCCCCCAAGCATGCAACATGTCTTCGAATGACTTCAGCATTTCTGCCTCCGCAAAACCCAATGGGCTTCTTGGCCCTCATGGTGGCCCCAAGACGCCCCCTAAAGAGCCCCGCGAGGCCCCCCCCCCTACCCCCACTAGCTCAAAAGGACCCCAAGTGGTGGGCCCACGAGCAGCCCAAACACATGGATCAGAGGGCGGCAGGTCCCAATGGCCCCAAGACAGCCAAAGAGGCCTCATGATGACCGCCCGCCTGAACTCTGGCATCTCAGCCGCCGTGGAGAAGCCGCGCGGCAGCGCGACTGGATGGGGACGTGTCGAGACGAAGCGATGCGTGCTGGTTTCGGGGCACGAGGCGCAGCAGAGAGCGCCTGTCAACATTAGAATCCGAATCTGACTCATGAAGCGTGACGACACCGCAAGACGCACTACGGACAGAAAAAAGCACCGTGCAGACGCGCTGCTCGCTGACACAGCTTGCACTACTGAGGATGTCAACCCCATCCGATGTATAAAAGGAGGGAGCAACAGTATAAATAACGGCCCACGAGCCAAGCGTCATGCGCTCGAGTGCACAGCAAGCTCCATTGTGTCACCGCTATAGTGAACGACGGGCTGTCAGCATCGTATTCGTGCGTCTGGCATGAAGCTGTTCAGCTGCGTTCTACGCTTTTGTAGCCAGCAACCGCCTTGCCAGTGCAAAAGCTGCGCCGCCCAGGGACGACGGCTTCGTGGCCGCTCCATATGCTCGCGCCAATCCCGAACCCGATGCCAATGACGATGGCTCCACCACCGCCTCCTCCGACAGGTCGGACGCCCACTTGCCTGGGACAACTCCAGTCCGGGGCAACTCTGGTCTGAAGCCCCCCGAGGCGCCATTCAAGTGGATAGCGCGTCGCCCCGCCCCGCGGGGCGGGAGGCTGGGAAGAGCTCGGGAGGATGAAGCTTTTGAAGATTGGGACGTGGTCAGCATGGGGCGCCGAAGTGTGGTGGGCCAGAACCGGCGGCGCGATACGCTAAGCAGACGTTTACGATCGTACTCCGAATTTATTAATAAGCGTCGGGGGTGCCTCACCCCCGCCTACAGCCCCACATCGACCCCCGTCGCGGGCAGCCGCCGCGCGCCGAAGGCGCTCCGACCCCCGTCGCGGCGCGACGACGATGCGAGGTTGACCCCCGTCCGGGGGGTACCCCCCACGCTTATTAAGAAACTCAGAGTAGGGGGTTCGAGGGTCGAGAAGGCTCGAGCATACAGCAAGTGCGGCAAGAAATAATAGGACCAACTCTACACCGTACAGCCTTCGTGCTACCGTAAGGAAAGCCAAACAAGGAACGAGCGGTCCATGCTGCCCACGGTGAGTCTCTGCCACGAGTAGGTCCCCCCACCGCGATCTATGGAACGGCCCAAATCCTTTCCTGAGCCCGAATGAATCCGTATCTCACCGTCTTCACCGCATGGCATTGTGAGCCCAAGAGACTGAACAAAAAGTAATAACAACCTATGGGCCACGAGCAATCAATGTTTGAACGGCCCAAGACCTCCGGAGACGCGCCTCTCTTGACACCACGCGAGTCACAGGAACTAACAACATCTGAAACGCCGGCTGGGGGGCACAACACTGGAGACGCTGTCCCCTTCCCCCTATAGGCCGGGGGGGAGGGGGGCGAACATTAGACGCGCACCATCGGCGGCCATCGTGTGGTGTCCGTTCCATGGATGGGAGCCTACGTGGACCCCAACGCTGTCCGAGTTGGGCCTGATGTCGACCGGATTTGGAATACATCTGAGACCGGATTTTGACCGGACTTGGGCTGGAATCTCCCCGTCACAAGGGAGACGAGAAGAGCGAGGAGGAGGTGGGTGAGGAACAGGCATGGCGACGGGGAGCATGAGGAAGCGCCAGATGCGTCCAAATGAGGTCCACATGCAGGCAAGGCTGATTTCAATGTCGCCACCCAAGGCTCCCATGAACGAACGTCGACCGTCGAACCATCGTGCGGGCACGATTGATGTCCAAATACACTGCGCCGTAGATTTTCCTGGGAAGGGGCGCCAAAAGGCCGAGGGTCAGTGGAGGCGTATAAGTTTGTCCATATCCCATATGCACTGCGCCTCGGGTGTCTGAGGTAGGGGGCCCGAGACTCCAAGATGCAATGGGCACGGATGTGGAGATGTGCGCGGGCACTCGTTCTCGACGTCGGCGTTGCTCGCAGGGCCGAGAGAACGGGAGCACAATTTTGACGTGGGCCCCTCCGGGGCCCAAGATCTGGCCGAAATCGGCGCGTTCCCCTCAGACTGCCAACCACGGCGTCCCCCGCGTGATTTCAGTCGGTCGAAATTCTGGCCAGCGCCCACACACACCGTGCCCGCAGACGGGGCGGGCGAACATCAGACGCACACCATCGGCGGCCATCGGCGGCGAGCCCGCGCGCGTCCAGGGTGGGGGGCCTTCGGGGTTCGTCACCCGGAAAGCGCGCTCGACGCAGAAGCGCTTCCAGACGAAGCGGAACCAGGGCCTGTGCGGCGGAGGGCCGAAAGGAGGCACCGCGAGCGTGCGAAGAGGCCACATCGAGTCAGAAACCAGCTAATCACAGAAGCTTTTGGTCGTCCCCGTAGCGCCGAACAGCGCGTCCAATAGCGCGCAAAGCGGGCAGTAGGCATGTCCCACACATGGCGCTATTGGGTGCTATTGGTCGCTATTCGGCGCTACTGGACGCTGTTGGGCGCAGTCTGGGCGCTATTGGGCGCTACTCGCCGACATTCATTCAAACCAAAACAAGCGGAAACTCACGTGATTCACAATCCAACAAGAGTGACCCCAGGCAGGAGTGACCTTTTGTGCGCGGCTTTCGGGGGGCACGGGGGTGTCAGATCGAAGCGCGCAAGCCAACGCTGAGATATTGCAGCACGCACTTCTTGTATGATAGCCGGTAGTCATAAGCAGATGCACCAGATGAAACGTTTAACATCACACTCGTCTTGAATTCGGTGTTGTGCCTACCCATGTGGGCCTGCACGAGAGGTCTCTCTGGTGAGGGAGCCTCCCCCACGGGGCTCGAGCTAAACAGCGTTTTCATGTTTCGTGTTGTGTTCGTTTCCCAATGTTCTGTCTTGGTTCGGCCTTTGCTGCCGAACGGAAGCAAAACGAAAACGGCCAACGAAATCGCAAAACACTCTGTTTAGCTTGCCCTTTGCTTCCCCCTGCCCTCCTCCCCGATCAACGCGCCACGCCCCAAAGATGACGAAACACGTGAGGGGACGGGCGCGGAGTGGGTTGCGGGGGTGGGGTCCCGGATGGGTCGCAGCCAGGTCGCAGGGAGGTCGCGGGTGAGACGGCAACAACAACAAACAACAACAAACAACATCTGTGCAGCGGGATCCCACTTTACCCACGCACCCAGGGATGTTGTAAGACCGTTCGGCCCCCCAGCTCTGATGAGTACCTCCCTCCCTTCCCCCCTGTCGCTGTGCAGAGGTCGCCCCGCCATCGCCGCGATTTCAACTCACACACCGGACTTCAGCAGTTGTTGTTCCCGATGGCGCTGTTGCAATCGGATCGTCTTCGGTCCTTGAAAATGGTGCTGCCGCTGCAGCGTGGGCCTCTTTTCACGATCGGCGCTTTGCCCGCGTCGTTCAGAATGGCATTCTCGCGCAAACCTCGGCCACATTTCTAGATCCGTGTTTGTTATCGTCGTTGTCGCCCCCTCGCTTCCCCTCCTCCGCCTTCCCCTGATCCACGTGGTCCTCAAGCTCCTTCCACTCCCGCTCCTACTGCTGCTGTTCGTCCTCGTCCTTTCCCTCATCATCCAGCTCCTCCCACTCATTCTCCTGCTCATCCGCCACCTCCTCCTACTCCTCCTACTCCTCCAATGTACGCAGCTCCTTTTTTATCCTGATGTCGCATAGCTCGATGGGGTCGTGTGTGGAGTTTCGGGTCCGCTATGCCGCGCGTCGGCTGATCGCGAACAAATCAACGCGGTGGGGAAGGGACGCGTGGGAGGGGTTGGATGTCAGAACTGGCGCGAGCGCATGTAGATTGCCATTTCCTCTCTCCTGCGACACTGCGGCACTGCGGAGTCTTGCACGACAGGATGCCACTACACGGCAAGCCTGGGAGATATGGGCTCCTCAGCATCATCCCTCCTCATCCCTCCTCCACATCCCCTGCATCCCCTGCCTCGCCCATCTCTGGTCCTCCATACTCCTCCCCCTCCCCCTCCCCCTCTCCCCTCTTCCCTCCTTGTCCCCTCGCCCCATCCCCCCCCTCCCCCCCACCCCCCCCCTCCCCTCCCCTCCCCTCCCCTCCACCCCCCCCCTCCCCCCCCCTCCCCTCCCCCTGCCCCTGCCCCCTCCCCCTCCCCCTACCCCCCCCCCTCCGCTCCCCCTTTCCCGTCCTCCGCCTCCCGTGGCCTCCTCCTCCTGGCACCTCGCGCGTCCCGTGCTCCTGCCCTCCCCCCTCCCCAAAAATTGGCGGGGTCGGATCCTCTCTTCGTCCATCGCGTTCACCCTTTGCACCTGGCAGCCGGGGGTCCGCGCCCGAGCGCGGGAAGCTGCAAGATCGCCCCGCTGCCCCCCCCCCTCGCCCTCGCACCCTCCGCTCTGACGACCTACCACCGCAACCCAGCCCGAAGTCCCTGATTTCGGGTTGGGTGGGCGAGCGGGTTCCAAATGTTACATGTTTTTCTCGGGAGCGGCCAAGAGGGGGGTGTCCAAGAGGGGGGGGGTGCAAATCATGACCGGCGGCATGTGCGCGGCCCAGCGGGGGAGCCAGGGACGTAATGAAACAAGAAGAGGCGGCATGAGATCTGGCGAAATATCATGGCCCACGCCATGATACCCACCCACCCCTAGTCATCACCCCCCTCTTTTCCGCCCCCCGATTTTCTCAATGCTCCAGGATGCCCCCCCCCCACCACTGGAGGCCAGCTTGGGGCCTTCGGCTTTCGTTGGGGTGTTTTGGTGGGTAGTGACGCTCCGCTCCCGCCGCCCTCCCCCAAAACCCTGGCGCGATGCCTTTCTCGCGACGCGGACCCCTGCATGGAGGTCTCGACATATTTCCCGGGACCTGTTTGTCATCCTGCGTCGGTCGTTCGAGGTTCAGGGGCCGGGCGAGGGCCACCATGGGCAAAAACCAGCAACGAACCGGTCCGTCGTCGCTTTTTTGCATGACGCAAGGGGGCTCTCGGTCCTCCTCCCTCACCTCCTGCCCTGACAGGACAACCCACGGAAGCTTTTGGTCGTCCGAATGGCGCCCTATTCACAGAAGAGCGGAATCGTCCCAGATTCACTAGTTATCTAAAAGGGGGGTCTGGGTCCTCCTCCCCTGACCCTCCCGCCTCCCGCCCGCCCCGCGTCATCCGCTCCCCCCTCTCGGGCACCTTGGCACTGCCTGATCTCCACGAGCCTCCGACCCACTGCTGGAGCGAGGCTGAGAGCTAAGAGTTCCGGCGGGACCAGGCTCAGCGCCCCGCCGGGAGGCTGTATGCAGGCAAGTTGACTTGCCTGTGCATGACATTCTCCCCCCCTCCCCCCCCCCTCCCTCCCCCCCTCCCTCCCCCCCCCCTCCCCCCCTCCCTCCCCTCCTCCCCTCCCCCTCCTCCGCCGCCTTTTCAGGCGCTGCTGGGCAGAACAGACGTGCAAGTCGATCCCGACATGCGCGAAGTCCAGAGTTCCTTTCGGGCCTCGCCACGTCCCCCCCCCCACCCCGCTCCCCCTCCATGCAAGGAGCTCGCAGGAGCCTGGGGAAACACTGCCTCCAAGAAAGGAACTCTGACAAGCCGGGGCTGTGCACCCGGGGGGGGAGGGACAGCACCTACCGTTGGCCGAGGCGCTCTTTCCCATGGAGCAACATCATGGTTGGAGGGGCTTGACAAATTTCTACCTCTGGGAGCCCTACCCGGGCCCTGGGAGCGTCAAACAACAGCTCGAGATGAACAGCCAGTCAAGGGGAGTAGGAGATCGACTACATAGTTGATCATTTGACCCCGAAGCTGACATGTTCGCCGAAGCTGCAACAGCAAGTTGTATGCTTCGCACCTGTGCGAAAATTGTACGTTGTCCTCGTAGATTCGACGAAGAAGAAGAAAGTGTAGGACAAGTAATGATGTGGTCGATCTCGGAGAATGAATGGGTCAAGACGTCGAGACCTCCGACTGTCGTCACTGTGAAATCATGGCGACGTCGGGCGCCCGGGCTGCGCGCTCCGAGCCTCCCGCGGCCAGAGCTCGTCCAGAGCCCGTGCCTGCAAAGAGCCCCGGCTTCTGGGGCCCTGGGCCTCAGTGCTCGGGCACGCGGTGCGTGATATGTTTGCGCTGAGGCGGAACCCGCCTCTCAGTGAATCCTATCTTGTGATCGGCAGCACTGTTTCCCCCCCCACGCAAGACACAACAGGAGCACAACCACATCGAGAAACAAAAGGTCACACAGCCGCCTCTGTGTGACGCTCATGCTCAATTTGGCACCAGGGCTAAAAGGTACCCCCATCCCACTTCCCGTCCCTCCCCCCGTCCGCTTATACGCCTCCCCAAACATCCGACGATGTGTTGGCTGTACGGGTCCCGGCCCCTTGCCCAGGAGCAGGTTTTCCACCCCAGATCCGTGCACAGGGATCCGAGAACGGTCCCCAGATGCCGAAGCGAAGGAAAAGCACTTCGATGGAACAAAACACACATCGCCGGCGATCTGGGCATGTGCCCCCGAGGCTCTGGACGGGCAGCGGCCCAACGCCGCCCGCCTCCCGCCTGGCCGCTGGATGACCACGGCGAGGATCTTCCACGACGACGGCCACGACGGCCACGACGACCGCGACGACGACGGCGACGACGACGGCGGCGCGCCTGCTCGGGCGTCGCCCGCGCGGGCGGCGCCTTCTCGACTCTCCAGGCCATGAACCTCTCGGCGGCCTGGACACGAGGCGGGCGGCCGCGTGCGGCGGCGGCGAAGGCTGCGGCGCCAGCCTGCGGCGGTGCGACGGCGGCGAGGGCGGCGGCTGCCGCCACCCTCGCCATGCGGCGGCGGTTCGAAAGCAGCTTGCCACAAGTCTGCTTGCGTGGAGGGGGGGGGGGTGCGTGGCGAGGACCGGAAGGAGCTCTGGACTCTGCGCCAGTCGGGATTCATTTGCCCGCCTTTCCGGCCCAGCGCTGTTTGAAAGGCGGGGGAGGTTTTTGTTGGGGGGAATCCGATGCACTGACTTCTATTCTCGACGCATGAGTTTTGAGGGAATGTCATGCAAGTAATCTTGCGTCAGTCCAAACAGAAGCGGACTCAAAGACATCCCGGCGCCGACGCCACAGGCGAGGACCCAGACCACCTGCCAACGTCGACTTTCAGTGCTCTGGGCACCATCCTGCGGACTAGCTTTTCGTCGTGGATCGTTGTTTGCAGTCCCTGAGCCAGTCGACGTACCCCACTTGAATCACCGCTAAGGTTGTTGAGGGGACAGTGGGGTTCTGAGTGGATGCTTCTGTCAGTTCTACGATGGCCTAGCCTTGCGTATCAATGGGTTACACATGCCCAAAGTGACTTCAAGGTAATTGGTAACTCTGCTAAGTGAGATCCACCCACTTAGCTCAGATCGCGGTCCCCCGAAAGCCGCGCTGATAAGCTAGGTCAGGCCAGGCATAACCCACCTTGGCACCCACTTAGAAGCCAACCTCGCAGGTGATCCAACCAGAGTCTGATAATACAGCTAAGAAGCTTCCAGTCTGAATGTCTCCTCCTCCTTCTCCTCCTCCTCCTTAGACACCCGAAGTCTGGCCCCATTCCCCAGGACCCGCTTTCCATTCTGGGCAGGTTTCTGACGGTCCCAGGACCCGGCGAAGGTCCACCCAGGCTGCAAATGGCAGAAAAAACACTCCCGCCATGCTTTGGTCACGACGCAAAGGGGGCGTCTGGGGACGGCGGCGGCGTGGTCACGACGCAAGGGGGCGTCTGGGGACGGCGGCGGCGACGAAGGCGACCGGAGGCGCCGTCGAAAGGCGGGCGGGCGGCTGCGGCGGCCGCCGCCGAGCGGCGGCTGCCCGAGAGCCCCGACAGCACTCCCAAGAAAACCCAAAGAGGGCAGAATCAATGACCTCCAGCGGGTTTGGGAACATTTTTCGTCGTCGTCGCCGTCGCCGCCGCCGCCGCCGTCGCCGTCGCCGTCGCCGTCGTCGTCGTCGTCGTCGTCGTCGTCGTCGTCGTCCCTATTCAGGGGCGGCTGCGCAGGCCGTAAGGCCTTCGCAGTACAGAAAAGACTGTCCGCCAAGATCTTTAGACGACGCGAGGGGGGTCTGGGGACGGCGGCGGCGACGAAGGCGACCGGCGGCGCCGACGTTGGGTGCGCGGGCAGCTGCGGCGGCCAACGCCGGGCGGCGGCTGAGCGACCACCGCGCCTTCGCCCCGCTCCCGCCTCTCCTCGCCCTCCCTGCCGTCCCCTCCCCAGACCAGCAACGCATGGAAGAAACGCCGCGTCCCTTTTGCAGCGTTGCCAACTTGCGGCAGTCGCACACCCGTGTTGGCGGGCACGGGCTGATGTGACCCCGCAGTCCCCGCGGTGGCCCCGTGACCAACGGAGCTGTGTCTCAGATGGGCCACGGCCGCCGCTCCGACACAGAGCCCGTGTGACGCGAACAAGGTGGACGTCGGCAGTTCAAAACGGTCATGATTCGTGGCTTTCGGCCTCTCCCTGATCACTGGACGCCCACATCGTCCTGGCCGCGACCGACGAGATCGGTCGCCACCGAGTTTCCTCTAAATTCTGGCATCGATCGCGGCCGATCTGCATCAAAATCGGTCGCGACCGATTGAGAAATCGCTCGCGACCGGTCGTCGTGACCGATTTGGGGTGCCGATCGGTCGCTATCACCAAACAGAACTTGTATCCAATGATTTGGGCCTGCAACGCAACAGGAACTATCTGGGACGAATGCCCAGTCTTGAACAAAAACAAGATGTCCGAGGTCAGGCTGCCCCTGCATAAAATGTCCACGGCGACATCATCACCAAAAGCTGACCGAGCCGACAGCGGCGCCCAAACCAACCGAAACGCGACGGACCGAAAACAGCGGAGGGACGCAGAACGGCAATGGCCGACCGAACTGAACTGACCGAACGCAGCCGACTGCGACGCAGACGAACCAACCAACCTGCAGGCAGCCTTGTCTTTCACCTTGGCCTCCTGCTCCGGACCTGCTCTCCTGCTCCTGCCCCTCATCCTCCTCCCTCCCACCTCCGCCTCCTCCCTCGTCCTGCTCCTTCCCTCACCGAGGCTGCTCCTCCTCCTCCTCCTCCTCCTCCTCCTCCTCCTCCCCGGACGACGACCACGGCGGCGTTGGCGACTACGACGACGAAGAGGGCGAAGACGATGGACAGCAAGGACGAACCGCGGCGGCCTCGGCGTGCTCCGCCAACGGGACCCAGGCGGTCTCTTCCAGCCCCTGGCCCCGCGGGGGGGGCGCGCGGGGGGGCCGCGGGGACGATACATGCGCGGTCTTTCCCTGTATTCAAGAACACTCAACATCGCGCGTCGCGCCCCGCGATCCCCGACGCGCGATCATCTTCGAGCCGTCGCGGCGTCGCGCCGCCCTTTGGAGAAGGGCAGCGCTTCTGGCCCCGACCGCGATGCGCGATTGTCTCGACGCCCCCGCGAGTGTCGTAGTCATTGCGCCAAGACCCCCCTGAGGCGGCGGCAGTCAGCGGAACTCGGTGGCAAATACTCATGGCGCCCTGCCGCAGGCTCTCTCGTCCACCTCGCCTTCCTCCTCCTCCTCCTCCTCCTCCTCCTCCTCCTCCTCCTCCTACTCCTCCTGGTCCTCGCCCTTGTCCCCGCCCTCGCCCTTGCCCTCCTCCTCGTCCTCTTCCTCATCCTCCTCCTACTCATCCCTTCTCCTCCTCCTCCTCCGCCTCCCCTGCCTCGTCCACATCCCGTCTCCTCTCCTCCACGCACAACGTCAGCCGACTGCATCCCTCCTCCTCCTCCCGGCGCCAGGGACCTCCTCGCACTGGGAGCGTCACACAGGGCAGATATCGGGACGAGGTGCCGGCCTGGGATCGTACGGCGTCAGAGGTCTTGGGAGGGCCAGGACCCTGACCTTCCAGGAGTGCTCAAACAAATGGTAGCAAGGCCTCTGAGGTCAAACACTAGTCGAGGTTTTGAGAAGTCCGCGCAGGTCGACCAGGCGAGGACGACCAGGAGGGAGGTGCGACTGGGAACGGGGACAACGGGGGCTGACTCTGATTCTTTTGACGGGGAGGGGGCGACGACGACAACGACGAGGGAGGACGACGAGGGCGACGTTTGATGGGCGACAAGGGGACGACGAGGATGTGGGCGGCGAGGACCAGCAGAGGACGAGACGACGAGAAGGGTAAGGAAGGGCCCACGAGGAAGACGAGGTGGATCGAGGATCGAAGTTTTCGGATGTGTCTGGCCCGCACGTATCTGGCTTGGCCCACCCTCAAAAGAACAGCAGACTAACGATGCCGCTGCTCCCGAGCCTCACCTCCCGGGGGCTGCGCTCCGACAAAGATGGCGAGGCACACGCAGCCGTGTCGACGAAGGCCTCCTAAAAAAGGCGAACAGGCGAAGACACTGGAAGGGAAGGCAGGGGCAGCGGTATTCGAAGCAGCCTTTGCGATTTGGACCTTGGAGTCTCTCAGGGGCAACGAGACCAGGCACGCCACCATCGCGAGGAGGCGAGGAGCACGGAGGTTCCTGGTGGTGTGCTTCCCTTCTCCTGCTGCGTCCAACTCTAGATGTCTCCAATCTTCGGGGGCGCACAAACATGGATTAGCGATCCATGGATTTGGCGCGCGGTCGCCGAATCCATGGATCGGGGGAGGTGCCCGCCCCAAAATGCGGCCGGTGCCGCCTCGCTTGGTGGCAGAAATCCGCGATGTCCCGTGGAAACGGGACCCGTCGCTAATCCACGCCCCCTTGATCCATGTTTGCTATCGCCTGAAATCTCTGGATCGGGGAGGCGCCGCGGCCCTCTTCGCCCCGCTGGTGGTGGTATCGCTCCTCGTACCCCGGACACCAAAGACATTCGACAACATGACGTTCTCCATCCGCGGCAGGCACCGCGGCACTCTGCGCCCCGCTGGTGGTGGCATCGCATTTCCTCACCCGTGATACCCAGGACATTCGACACTGTTCAGCGCCACCCCTGCAGACGTGCTGCAGCGGATTTGTGCGTGGATGTCTGTCCATACAAAACCCCGAAACGACGAGTGAAAAACGATGTGAATTTCGCATGGAATTTGGTTAGTCTTCCCTCCTGGCAAACAAAACATCCGTACGATATTCACCTCGAAATCCGGAACGAAATTCTCCAGGACACTCCGGGCTCATCCTTCTGTTTTCCAAAACGTAATCCAGTGTTGGCGCCATGACTGTGTGTGACTTTCTCACCCCGCGGCCCCAGAGCTCCTGACCCCCTTCCCAGGAGCAGCCGTGAACCTCGAATGAGTTTCTGATGCCCGCGGGGCCCGAAGACAGCCCTCCCCGACGCCGAGATTGAAGAGAAGCGCCCAGATTGACAACCTCAGTCCTTCGGCAGCCTGGCTTTGGCATGCCCGACACGGCAGGGAAACGTGAGCACGATGCCCAACAGCGAATGTTGTCCAAAGCCACCAGCGTCCGTTGGGTGGCAGACGACCCCCTGAGTCGGATGGACAACAACGGCCGCGGTGACACCGACAGCGAATCGAGTCCTGCTCAAAACGGACAGGATATGCTTCCTGTCTTCGCCCCCACTGTTGCCGTACCAATTTTGATCGTACCGATGGTGCGGGGGATATCTCGACTCGATGAAGGGCGCGTCCGACTGGAGCCCCCCTGGGGGGTGCACCCCCGAGTTCGCCTCCTTTTCTGAGCGGCCCCAGTATTGGAGGAACAGCTTGGGATTGAGGACAAGACATCGCCTGCAAGAGGGGTCTCTGGCTGGAGCACCGCCAAGCGTGACGACATCGGCGTGAGTTTCCGACACCGCGTAAATCGTCCAACCCTGAACGCTCGCGGCGCTCCCGAAACGCATGTCTCTCAATGTCGGACGACCCGCCGCTGTTGGCGCTCAACCTGGAACGCCCGCGGCGGGGCCGCCGCCGCGACGACACAACACGAACCTACCTGTCTCGAGGTCGTGGATCGACGGCCCGAGGGCGGCGCCAGTCTCCTGCTGTGGGGCAACCAACGCTATCGCATGTACTCTCCAGACCTCTCCCTGGGTGTGTTCTGGCGAGGGCCTCGATGGAAATCCAACCGCGGCGACGAGTGCTTCTCAGGAGGCCCGAGGAGGCCAAACGAGAGGAAGCGAGGGACGGGTGGCGGTGAGTATCGGTACCTGCTTGCGTCCTCTGAGGTCTCTGGCTTGGGCGCCGCCGGGCCTGCTCGTCGCACCACCTCCGCCAGTGGAACCTCGGGCGGTGGGGCAGGGGGCGCGAGGGTGGGCGGGCGCGGGGCGGGGCTGCTCGGGCCCAGAGGCGCGCCGGGTGACCTCCACGCAAGCCCTCCAGGCAGAACCCCTCAAAAGCTCCCCAGACAAGCGCGAGGTACAACATGATGGCCTTGCACGTGTCAGCCTCTGTGGCATCCCCTCCCGAAGTGGAGAATCCCGCCCCACATCAGCGCATCGCCCCCATCATCAATTGCTGCGCAGGGGCCGCACGGGAACGCCCACCCCATGCCAAGTGAGTGAGATGGAATGGATACCGAGCGCTACGCTTCGCTGAACTGTCATCCGCTGGGAGAGTGCAGCAAGCCCCGGCCCCAGGCCTCATGCCGCCGACGTCGTCCTGGAAGCTTTATGTTGACACACGGGCACATGCTGTGGCAGGCGACCCTGAATCACACGCACCCGCTGCGACTTCTGACATCACGAAGCCAAATGAATCTCGGTGGAAGACCTGCGTCGGCGCGAACAGACTTGGATGCATCCGTGATCACATGGCCAATGCGCTCAAATTTGTAGGTTTTCAAGACACAACGCCTGTAGCGCAAACGCTTTTTGTGAGTCGTGCTGGGTCTCAGTCCTGTTTATTGCTGATTATCACTTCACAGAAATCATGGCAAATCGATCAGGGCGCAAAGATGATAAAACTGCTGCTGTTACGACTGCTGCTCCTCACATTAGACCCACAGCAAGCCATCTTTTCTATGACATCGCTGACTACCAGGAAGCAGTGGCACATACGTCCTGACAACGATGACTGCCATCTGCCATCAAAGGCTAGGGGTTAGCGATGAAACATGCACAACAAATAAACCATGGATGCTATGTTCTGCTCATCCTGGGCAAATCACTCCGCTAGGTCGGCACCGTTGGTTTGCTGGCTCCGGCTGGGAACGCCAAGAGATTGCTGCTGCTGAGCGTGGGACCCTTAAGAACATCTCCTTTGGACGTGCACAATCTTCGAGCGCTGGCATGGCGCAGCAAGAGACAGAATGCGGCCATGGAGGCAGATCGGGGGCCGTTACAGGGCGCTGCGCAGCAAGCGCCTCGGCGCAACTGAGACACCACAATGGCGCAGCTCGGTGGGCGAAGCGCATGACGAGGCACATCAGGTCTTCGAGCACGAAGGCAGTCTCGTTCAGCCTGCTAGCCAGTCTCTTGGCTGCCGCAGGTGGGGGGCACACGCCCGCACCGAGGCACCAGCATGGTGCACTCTGCTCCAGCCCTGTCAGGGAGAACCCTCCTCCACGGGCCACAAGTGGCGTCGCGACGAGCTCCTGGCCGGGCGTGAACCACGGCGCCCAACCAGGACCTGGCGCCTCCTCTGACGGCGCCCTCGGGTTGTTGAGGTGTTGAGACAGCCCCAGACTACTCAGGGGGTTTGTTGAGGCCAGCCGGGGCTACCTGGAAGGGCTGTCTGCGCGCAACACGCAGCCTTACCAGTCCCGAGGCCGCCCTGGGAAAGCGCACCAATGGCGGCGCCACAGGCGCCGCCACATGGGCTCTGGAACGGACCACGAGAAATCCGCACGGAACTCTGCAACTTCATGTGGATGCCGCTTTTTGCTCCTCGCCTCTCCCTCCTCCCTCACCTCCCTCTCCTCTCAAGGCTGCCCGAGGAGCCCCCTGGACATCTCCAAGTGCGATGTTCGAAGGTAGATCCTGGATCCTGGCTGCCTGTCCAGAACTGGACGCGGGAGGGGAAGGGAAGGGAAGGGAATGGAACCACTTGTATGTCTCATATCAATCCCCACCACCCCTGACGTGGTACGTGAGGCGTCGGAGGGGCGGTGGCGGCCCGCACACCCCCATGCCCACCATAGGGGACGGTGCGAGGTTCCCGTGTGTGGGATGGGGTGGGCAAGAAGGGACACCGTAGGCCCCCCCGACCTTCAAGGCTCGGACACCATACTCCTGGCCGGCAATTTTTGGTAAGGCGCCGCACGCCTCCCCGACAACGTGTGGCACGCGCCCATTGACTCTAGAGTTTCCTCCCTCCCTCCTCTCCCTTCGAGAAGCCCCCCACTCCCGTCGCTGTTGCACCACGATGGGGCCCATTCCAATCCATTCCCCACGTTCCCGTGGCCGCCATCGAAACCCCACCCAGACCCCGACTGCATGATTGTTCATAATGTCTAGAGGCAGTTTGTTTTACAACAAATCCTGCGGGAAAATTTTAAATTTAAATTCCCAGCGCTGTAGTGCACATGTGGAAAAGGCCAACACCAATAAACACAATGTAAACCCGAGCGACGGGGACCCGCGACCGCCCTAGACCGCCGGGGACCCCTCCCGACGCGGCAACCAAACACGTGATGCGGCCTTGAAACCTGCGCGCGCAAGCCGCGCGTGGCGGCGTTAAGCCCATCAGGCACCAACGACTACCGAGCGCAGCCGCGCGCGGACGCAAGCAGAGTACCCCAGTAAGCGAGAACGACTTACTCGTCGACCGACGTAGCCTATACATTTGCACGTACGCAGTTCAAACGCATTTGCCAATGCCCGCGAGTGCGTGCGTGTGTTTACAAACAAACAGATTTGCATATATGACTCGCATCCCTCGGTCTCCTTAGAACATTATCCAAGAGGGATTCTTGAACAAAACATTACTCGGCGGCGAGTTAATGGAGATCGGGATCCAAGGGGGGGTCATCATTTGTTTAGTCCTCCGTCGCCATCGCTGCGCGGTAGTCTCGCTGGGCGTTGCGTGCAGGATTGAGCACCAGGGGCGAAGCCGACGATGATGAAGGAGCCGCCTGAATGCCATTATCCCACGCTGTTGGTTCGCAGCTGCGGCTCGGTGGCGGTCTGTCCCCAGGCCCCTGCTTCCTCTCCGCTCGAGATCGCGGCCACCTGATTTTCCCCTTGCTGACAGGGGGTCACCCCCCCCGCGCCCCGCGGAATTCCCTTTGCCCGACGACGTCGCGCGCGCCGAGCGGGGGCGATCCGAGGGTTGGCTGAACCGCATCCGCCTCCCAATCTCGCGGCCCGCGGCACATCGAACTCCGAGCCCGTGCCCGAGACATGCCCGAGACACTGGCGGACCTCTTGACGCGTGCCTCGGGTGCGTTGAACTCGGCGTCGCGCCAGGCGACTGAATCCATAGGTCTAGCACTAGCAGTGCAACGTCGACGAAAACAACATCGAAATGCTGCATCGCCATTCTGCGGAGGGCCAAACTGTCGGGCTCAAGATGGGGGGTCGCTGTTGCCATGCTATCATCGCCACTGCGTAGATCATGAGATAGAAGATAATCCTACGCCAACACCACGTCGTCGAGCACCTTCGCTCAACGTGGTCAGAAATATCCTGCGCAAACACACGCAGACTCATGACTCATTCCGACCGTCTGCTTGCGGGCCCTGGCGTTTCTGAGCTGCTCCGTCACTGCCGCGACGTATGCGATGCACGCGGTGTGTTCGGCAATCAGGTGCCCCGGCTGCGCGCGGGTCTCGGCGAGCTCGATCGCCACGCAGTATGCTCGTTGAGTCCACCAGGTCCCCGCCAATCCATCATGAGGTCGTACGTCGTAAGTGGCGGCGGCCTGCCTCATGGGAACTTTGCGCGCTTCTTCATGATGGGAAACACGTTGTGCTTTCCTCCGCCGTCTGGGAAATGGCAATCGTGGAGGAACATGGCAACGGCCGAGATCACCGCATCGTCCTTCGCCGAGAACTCTGAGCTGCCAGCAGCGGCATTGATGCGATCAGGACGGCGCGACTGCGGGCGGGCAACCGGGCGGGCCCCAAGGCCTCGCGATCGAAATCTTGCACCGTGGGCGCCGCCGACTTAGTCGCCAGACGCACGATGGATAGCTGGACGTAGGCGCACCGCACCGTTTCCCTGTCCAGTCACAGACGGCCTGTCCTCGGATGGCCAACGTTCGCAGACCTCGTATTACATGTGGCGCGCGAGGGTGTTGATGTGGTGCATGGTCGACGTATCGCGGTCGTTGAGCCGTGCCTCCCAGCCGACGATCGGGATATCGTTATCGATGTCGACGTAGTGCTCCAGGTCCCATGTGAAAGCCTTTAAGACAGAGAGCTCGCACACCTGGCCGTCGACGTTGGATCTGCGGCTGAAGTACGGCCACCAGGTCTCCATGGGCACACTCGGGCACTCACCAATGGCCCTCTCGCCAATGTGCGCCTGGTACCGAATACATATGTGAACCAGTTTCTTGGCGATGGCCGACTTCGCGGAACCCCGCTGGAGAAGACTGAGATCGTTGAAGGACTTGGGTACCCTGGCCAGATGCGTCGTGACATTGGCTTGGAACGCCAATTTACCCTCCAGTACCAACTTCCACCTGGACTGTGCTCCTTCGCGAACATCCTGTTGCAATTTATCGGTCGTCCTGTTGATGCTGGCGCCCGCGCGAAGGCCGATGCGGCTGGCCAGCGGGGCGCAAGCCCAGGGAAGACGACGTGGTCGCCAGACCCCGGTTCAATACCCTCCTTGATTGGACCGAGATCCCGCCATTCCTGCAGCGCCGTGATCATGTACGGCGCCTGGGCAATATTACCATCGGTAACATTACGACGGCAACGCAGACAGCAGACAACCCCCAGCCTGTTTAGACATCCTCTGCTGGCCATCTTCGGTCCATGGCGCGGGGTCGGTCCTCTTCCTATTGAACTCACCTGAAAACGTGCCGTCGTCAACGTCCCCTATCCTCACCAATTTCTGATTGCATTTGATGTGGTCAACGAATGCCGTCCCAATTTGTTGAAAACCTGCGCCCGCGACCCAGCCCGCGACACGCCCGCGACCAACCCGCGACCCTTCACCTCGCCCGTTTGCCGTGTCAATAGGTGTATCGACGCGAGACTTCCCGGAATCATGGTTGCCCTCAGCTGTTTGACCGTCGATTGCTGCGTCCATGCTCCCAGCCAACAGCGTCTGTTTCGTATCATAGATGCTCCGGCCACCGCCGGATTGCTGGCGCTGCTCGCGCATCCGGGAGAGACGCGACGTCGATTTCACTGACCTGTCGACTCCGACGAGGCGGAGACAGCGTCGTCGGACGAGTCGGAATTACTGACGTGGGCCGTGCCACTCGACTTCATCCTCGCCTGCAGGATGACCACCCCGCGGGGTCTCCGGCTTGCCCGCGCCATGCATCATTGGCGAATCGGCGCGGTCGGAGGCAGCTGGCTTGCTGAGATTATGCGGGAGCCTCGCGGCCGTGCGAGTGACACAGGCAGTGGACGCGGCCGCGAGGCACCTCTTTAACAAGGTGGAACTGACCACGTCCTTGAACGGAAGGCGTGGGCCCGACATCCTCTTCTTCGACGAAGATCTTTGTGCGGGTCCGTCGCCACAGCGTACTGCCTTGGTCACCGCATCCCCGAGGCTTGCGATTCAGTCGCGTTGGATATGGCTGATATCCAGCACGTTGCCCAAAATAGTTCCATTATATGCGAGAATGGGATCCGTAGGCGAAGGCTTCTGCTGGTGATTTTGATGATCTTCTACGATGTCCGTTAAGCGCATGTGCTAGGGTATGTGTATGTGGTGTCACGGGAGCGCCTGGACTGACAAGGGGAGGGCGCGCGAGTGCGGACCTGTTGACCTCTAAACACAAATTTGTTCAAGTAGTACCGGTAATGGCGGCGCCAGCTTTTCATACTGGATGTTGGAGCGAAATGAATGAGCATGGCGAGGGGACGTTTGAAATGACTGAAATCCTGCACGCAGGCTTGGGCCAATGCGGCCCTGACCCTGCAGGATCCTGCAAGGTCCGGCGCTCTGGCTGACCCCCGTTTGCAGCGACCCCGCCTCTTGCAGCTCGATCCATTCCATTCCCTCTCTTCCCAGGGCCGCCGTAATAGCCCCACTGTCGGTGGTTCAAACTTGGGGTCCTGAGAGATGGGGCCCTGACGACAATGTGCGTAAAACGATGTAAATCCACATTGGAACCCTTCCTAACCTTAGGGCCCCATCCCGCAGAAGCCCATATATGAGACTTGTGGCAATTTGTTCCTTCAGGGGAAACAGTCGTTACCAGGGGGGGTGGTTTGGGCGGGAGGGTTTCACCCGCCAGTGTGCGCCCGCGGCACTGGCGCATCAATCGCCTGTGTGCACCACAGCATGTAGGGGGGTCCAGCCTCCCCCACCGAAGTACGATTGTTATCGTTATCCATGGGGGGGCTGCCGCGGGAAACGAGCGTTCGTTTGGGGAGGAACAACAAAAAAACTCACCACCGACACCCCGCCCCTTGCCCCGCCGCCGGTGGTGGCGGTCGGGTCCCGCAACAGCTCGCGCAGCTCCGGGAGGCCAGGCGCACGGGCGCCGCGGACGCCCCCCTCGGCGGCGAGGGCCACGGCCTAGTGCGGACGGGGGCCTCGTCCTCGCGTTCATCATCGTGCTCGTCATCCTCATCCTCCTGCTCCGTGCGGACGGGAGTTTCGTCCTCGCGTTCATCCTCGTGCTCGTCCTCCTCCTCCTGCTCCTACGTATCCCTCTGCTTCCCATCCTCCTCCTCCTCCTCCTCCTCCTCCTCCTTCTCCTTCTCCTTCTCCTCGTCCCAATTATCTTTCTTCTCCTCCCCCTCTTTTCCCTCTCGTCCTTTTGCGCATTCCTTCTGAAAATCAGCTAGGAAGCTTTTTGCTGATAGCGCAATACCTTCTGAACCAAAGCAGTTGCGGCCCACCACTAAATCTGCACCGCTGGAACTCCTAAGCTGCGTTGTTTGCCCACTCGCATGATCATATTCGAAAGAGCGTGATCCACCGCCGCTTTACTGTGGAAAATTGCCAACCTTTTCCTCTGGAGACCGGGGGTCGCCCCCCCCCCCACCCTCCGAAAATCCCCCCCCCCCCCCCCTGCTGGACCCCCCCCCCCTCCCCTGGCAAAACCCCCCTCCCCTAACCCCTCCCCCCCCCTCCCCCCCCTCGAAAACCGAGGGGGGTCACTACCGGTTCGAACCCTCCCCCCCCCCCACCCTCCCTCCGGATCCGGAAAACCGGGGGGGTCACTACCGGTTCGAACCCCCCCCCCCTCGAAAACCGGAGGGGGATCACTACCGGTTCGAACCCCTCCCCACCCCCCACTCACCGCCAGCAAACGACTCCCGGTCCCTACCACCGTCCGCATCACATCCCCCACTGTTGTTCCCAGCACCACTGTCCTCACCACCACTGTCCCCACTGTGTCCCCACCAGTGCCCCCACCACTGTCGCACTGTCCCCACTGTCCCCACCACTGTTCCCACCACGGTTCCACTCTCCCCACTGTCTCCACGGCCCCAACCACTGCCCGACTATCCCCACTGTCCCCACTGTCCCACTGACTCCGCCGCTGTCCCACTGAGCTGTCCCACTGTTCCCACCAATGTCCCCACTGTCCCCACCACTGTCCCCACTGTACCTCTGTCCCATTGTCCCACCGCCGTCCTCGCCACCGCCTTCACCACTGTCCCCGCCACCATTGTACCCTCCACTGTCCCACTGTTTCCATCTCATTCCCACTGTGCCCACACCACTGTCCCCACCACCACCGTCCCCACCACTGTCCACTGTCCCCCCTGTTCCCACCATTGTCCCCACCACTGTCCCCACCACTACCGGCCCTCTACTGTCCCACTGTCCCACTGTCCCCACCACTGTCCCGCTGTCCCCTCACCACTGTCCCCACCAACACCGTCCCCACCACTGTCCGCACCCCCACTCGGTTTTCGAGGGGAGGGGGGGGGGGGTTCGAACCGGTAGTGACCCCCCCCGCCTTTCATAATGAATGGGGGGGGGGAGGGGTTCGAACCGGTATTGACCCCCCCCGGTTTTCCGGAGGGGGGGGGGGGGAGGGGTTCGAACCGGTAGTGACCCCCCCCGGTTTTCCGCCAGCAGCGGTAGAACACGCTCTTTCTCATATTCTAACACACCCCAACCTCGATCAATGTTGGCCAAATGCGGCGACGGGTGAACACCAAATATTGAGCGAACTAGATACGATGCTGACTGGTGTGAGAATAAGCATGCGAAGAAAAATAGACGGTAGAGAATGGCGACCGTGATACGCACTGTGGCGAATCGAACTGCCTAAAGTAATGAAAGACAAACAAACGCAACACAACAATATACTATGAGCGGGCGTAAACCTGTAGGGGACTCCTAGCACGCGGCACGGGACGATGCTGAAATATTACGGAGTATGTGGCTTGTGTACAAGGGGACATGGATCTCAACTGATATGGATCTCAACTTTTCTGGCCGAGCGGTTTGCAAAAGTAACGGTAGCAGGCGCCAGCTCGTGCCGTCCGCTGATGTGTTTGTTTGTGCCTCGCGAATGCATGGGCATGTCGTCTCTGCTCCCAGATTTGGTCAACACATCTGAGGGTCTCGCATGGTCCTACTTTGGTCACGTTGGTGCCTCCTCGCCGCACTTTCTCTTGCAGCCAGAAATTGCACACCTCATTGCGTCTGACTGTTCCTATTCCCCGCCAGCTCGCGTTGGCAATAGCTGCGCTGGCGTCGCCCTTTAAAGAAGCACAGCAATCGACCTTAAGGTATTTGAGAGCTGCTTGTAGACCTAAAACTACAGATCCACCTTCC